TTTTTTTTTCACATTCTGTCTCTCACAGTTGAAGTGTACCTCTGGTGCAAATTACTGACCTCTGTCGTCATTTTAAGTGGGGGAACTTGCACAATCGGTGGCTGACTAAATACTTTTTTGCCCCACTGTATATTTCGCCACACAAAAAGCAAACACATGTTTTTCCTATCAGCGCTTACGCTCGTGGTTTTGACGTTTCTGACTATGATCTGACACACTGCTCGGCTTCCTTGTTACTTTGCAGGTATAGATTTTGAGATTTTATGTGTTAAAGCACACCACTCAAAAGCAATGAGGTACAGAGGAATGTATTTCTTAGCAACCCGTGTTTGCAGTGACCACAGGTTAATGCACAGCCGAATACAGGAGGAAACCTGCAACACACAAAGCCGCTGAAAAGCACTATAAATATCAGTTTGCCTTGTCATAACAAAGGTTGAAGAAAAAAAATACAAAGCAAAGACAGGAAAAAAAACAACTGTGGTTTAGCATTTACTCACACTCTTCTCTCAGCTCAAGCCAAATTAGTACATACTTGATGCTTTTGCAAATCCCAACACTGACAGAAACAATCTAATACATTCAAATTTGCAGAGGCTTTGAGCTGATGGTCTTTTCCAGACTGACAATTTAAGCTCATTCCAACCATTGTAAGTCCTGCCAGATAAGAGCATTAACTAAATAGTTCAAATGTAAATGTATTAGATTATTATAATCACATTATATTATTTGGTTTTGCCAAAGCATCTGTAACCTAGACAGTATTTTCTACCTCATTTGTTACAGGAATTCATAGAGTTGTATTTATCTTTTTTTTATTAGCAAAGGTTAGGCTATGTTCTTTGCAAGGCTTAATATCAACAAATCAGGAAATACATCTGCAACAGATTAGTATGTATTAAGTGGTTAATGTTTTTAATCTGTAATACTAACATACAACATAGCATTATTTCAGGGTGGACACATAAAGACTAGGATTTAACCAAGCTAACATTTTTTTAAAAATTACAAATGCTACCACTCAGTAATTTTAGTAATTGCTTGTATCACAACAATTAATACTATAAGCAGACTGTACAGTGCTAATTCTGTAGCAGTGTTAAAACCACAACAACCATGTGTTGTTAACATCAGTGTTCCAGTCACCTATTTTGCTAAGTTAGCAAAAAGCTAAAAGAGTAAAAAGCTAAAAACAGCAGAGATTCAAGCAGGGGTGATTAAAATAATAGCTTAACATAAAGGTTAACCCTTTAAATAGATTGTCATAATAGCTATAGAAAAATGATATTTCTGAAGATAGAGGATAATGTTTACTGCACTTTAAAATAGTTTGTAATTAACAGTTAGCGCAAGAAAAAAATAGGATGAAAAATATAGCTAATGATAGCCCAACTAAAGCTAACCGAAATCTTATGCTAAACGGTTTCTATTTCCTATCTAAAAGTAACATTAAAAACGGTAAAATAGACAGAATTAACGACATTTCACATCAATATTCACTTTTATTTGAACAGAGTAACAAAAAAAATGTTCAAATTGAGCTGAAATGAAAAGCTAGGGACATGCTAAGTAGCAAAGTCTAGGAAGGTGCACTTGAGCTTATCTGACAAGGTTGTGGGGGAACGTCTGAAAGAGCAGTGTGGAAAACCATCATTTAAAATCATAGTTTATATAGTGTGCGCTCACTGCTGTCAGTAACTTACAAAATAAAGAGCCATCGAAGGACAAAGTCAAAAATCAATTTACTGAGGCGGAGAATTTTCAGACAGGAGCCACATTTCAGTAAAGACACGTCCAGCATGTAAGCTCCTGTGTTTTGAAGTGTCAACAGTATCACCATGAGGCAGGGCCATTAGTCTGCCTCCTCTGCTGTCAGCAGTCTGCCTCTCAGCCTCTGTGCTGCTGGCTGGATTTTGATTTAGTTCTTCCCTTCTGGGCCAAGCATTCCACTGGCTGTGCTATTGTCTACTTCCTTTGGGTCTCTTACCACAATATCACATCCCTCTGGCTGGCAAGTTTCAAGACAGACTGACTTGCTGTCTCTCAGTGTGTGTGTGTGTGTGTTTGCGTGTGTGTCCACCAAACAGGAAGTGTGACAGTTTGTGTCAAGTGCACGCTCCGGAAGAAACATATTTGTGTACGGTTGCTTATTGGTGTTAATGAAAGCGTAGCATTGCTGTGAAATGACTCGACATTGAGATTTGAAACAGGGATAGGATAGAAAGGAACGTGCTGAAAGAAAAAAAAACAACTAAAAACATATTAGCATCCACAGAAAGAGAGAGAAAGTACAAAAAAAATCACGTAGAGGAGAAAAGCAGACAGTGTGGGCAGGAAGGCAGGAAGAGCAGCCAGCTTGTGGTGCAGGAAACAGCAGCAAACATGAATTTCCACAGGTCCTCTTCACAGACAACTTGGTGCTCATTTTGTGCACATACCACATCACAACACCCCTCAAGAGGACATGCAACAAGTGTAATGTTGCCCCCATGGGAGCTTTCAGTGTAGGCACATACTGAAACACCCACATGCATGTAGGTTTTTATGCCAAACAATGTGCATGTATCCGGACAGCTTTGTGGTTGCATTTATAAATATTCGGATGACAGTCTGTGCGTGACTCTACTAACTGTTTATGGTTGATTTGGTAAAGGGCTGCTTTTATTTATCTGTTGAATGAAAAAACAGAAGTGTTCCTAACGACTCAAGTTTCAAATTCAGGAAAGGAAATCCGTTTCCTTTCTAAATTTTCTCAGAGCGAGCAGCTAATTTGAATGTAGCCTCCACATAGGAAGTGTATAAAACGAGCACCATACCTTCACATTTCTCCAGGATTTGCACCGTGTCTCCAATTTCCAGCGGGAGGCCATGCTGGACGGTCCCTCTGAAACTGGCCAGCACTGCAGCAAAAGAGGCACAAACATCCACTTTAGTGTTTTTACATTTTTTTTTTCCCAATACTTAACTCTATTATGTAGAGTTAGAAAGAGAGTGTAGGAAACAAACAGACAAAAAAATAATGGGATAACTAAAAAAAAAAATAAAAATGAAAATAACAGAGAGAGAGAAAGAAGATACGATCAATAATCTGTGTAGGTGAAATAAAATCAAAGCTTATGAAATACCTCTCCATTTCTGCACAAACTCATAACACAAACACTCAAAACAGAGTTACATAAATCCATTCTGTTCCACAGAGGACATCAGGCTGTTTTTTTATTTTTATTTTCAATGACTCGAATTTTAAGGAAAAAAACTTTCCACACACAATAGCAGAAACCGAAAAGACTTTTGTACAGAAATGCACCGTTCTTTCTAAGTGCATTTACACTTTTAACACTTTAAATGGCGACGCCTTTGAGGAGAAAAGCCTTACTCTGTTTCTGCCAGTAGCTCATAAGATGAATGGAATGTCAACTAGACAAAGTGTTTTGGTGTTTTTCAAGTGGTTTTTGGATATTAACAATGATAACAGGCATTATACTGTAAAGCTTGCATTCTATGAAGCAATGTAATTTTTCAATAAGAAGCTGCTGTTGTATAATACTGTAGCTGTACTTGACTTGTTTGGTATCATTATTTTCAGCACAACCTCATATCTGAAATTGGAGTTGTGTTTTTTCCCTTTGAAAAAACAAAATAACCCAAGTGAACCAAAATCAAAAAAAAAAACTAAAAACCGAAGAAAAAAAAAGTAAAATCTTTCCGGAAAAAACAAAAAACCGGTTAAACAAACAATTTCAAGAACTGAAAAGCAAAAAAAAAATGGAAAATTCCAAAAAAAAATTATGCACGTTTTGCAAACAATAAAGTTATATGGTACTATTTACCTAAAAATGCAGCCAAGGCCTCAGGTGTCTTTTTTATATAACCATTTAAAACTATTTACAAAACAATCCAGTATGTTTGCTAGCGCTGTCCGTAGAAAACATTTCTTCCCGCTGTAAACACCACTGTTTTGTTCAGAAAAAAAACGTTGCGTGTATTTTTTTTTTTCATAACTGGTTTTATGTGGCCTATCCACACAATTTAAAAACTGGTATATAGCTTGAAGTCCGCACTTTCGACCCAAGTTGAAATGGAGACTCTGGGCTGCTGCATCTTGTTTCTGTGTCATTTTAAATTGGTCATGTGATTTTGACGCGCCGGCGCGTACGTCGACCCCAGAGACTTAACAAAGAAATGCTTCGTAAGAACAGGCAGAACAATGTACAGACTACGTCTTATTATTTAATCCTAAACAGTCGTGATTAATCCAAGCTCTTGCCTTCCTTTTCAATCGGCACTGACTGCTAGCCAGCACACATACAGCACAGGTGCTAAAATAACCTACATTCAGGGTGACAGATGGCACTTTTCACCTTCTTTGGTATGTTTCTCTAGCAACTATATTCCATTTTTTGGGTGTTCTCACTAGCCCAAATTAGCATCACAACTGACAGTAAATGATGACAGCACCTTGCTAACCTAATAACATAGCAGGCATGAGCATTAGCTGATCTCTGCCTTTTCTAAATATGGTCTTGATAAAAATTTAACACATTATCTGCCAAAATGCCAAACCTGAGGGTTTAATGGGGGTTTAGATACAGTCTATGACAGACATGTCACCAGAACTGATGCTTACAATACCATTCGAGACCAAAATTCGAAAAATGCCACAGTACTTGGCCTCGTCTGTGCCAAAGCTACAATCCTTCTGGACCTGACTATAATTATTCTAGTCTATGCTTACATGCTGAAAAAGAAAGATCCCCACAAGCACAGTAAAAACTACAGATGGAAGGTGGTAACTAGTGCAGCTGCAGAATAGCTTCACCCTCTCTTGTTGACTGAACAGCAGTAAGTTTCAGGCTTTTTCCCTCCCTTTTCTTTTGGTAAACAGTGGCATCAAACTACGCATCAACGATTGCATAATTCTGCTGTTTTTGGTACCAATAACTTAACCTCTGGTATGATGACATCCCTAGTCAATCATAGTTGAAGTAAAGTCAATTTAAGAGCCATATGACAAATTTTACACATGAAAGGCACAATCTGTCTACGCCCGTGTGCCTGCATGTAGGAAATAGGAATTACCCTTAAATTGGCAGCGTGTGGAAAATGACATTTCAACATCAAACACCGGAGAGATGTCTGATAGAGAGTGGATACAGCTTTGAGATTAATACAGGTTTTGAGAAAATGTCATGAGAAAGCCTGCCATCTAAAAGGATAGCAGGTTAAGTAGGTACGGACAGAGTGATGCTGAAGGTCTATTAGCACTAAGCGCTGCTTTGTAACTGTGAGTGTTTCAGCAAAATGTCTCAGCTGACAATACTGCAATCATCTCTTAAAAATAGCACAGAGTCCTGCTGACTCGCTCACTGAAACCAAACACACACACACACACACACGCACAATGAATTAACCCGCACTCTTAAACCTGCATGTACCCAAAAATATGTCAGCCGCTTCACACTGATATTCATGCAAACACAGACTTGCAAATGTTGCCAGATCCACCAGGGTGCAAGCTTAATGCTGCAAAGTCACAGCCAGCAAATTTACACAAGCGGCCTATTCAAACAGCAATGTATGCATGTAGACATAGGCTCACAGAGACACCCATTCATACAAGGTCACGCACATGTAAAACTGGGATATCCAATGGAAACATAACAAGAGTCCTTGCCATGTAGAAAGGCTTCCGCCTTGAGCTCAAGCGAGGACGAGAATTTCATTTCTTCTGGCTGCAGGGCTCATTCGGTATACCTGAACGCAGCATCCAAACAGCGCAGAGAGAATTCCCTTAGTTGCAGAGGAATTATATTTAATCCAAGACAATTTAAAGAAACAAGCACTTGTACAGGAGTAAAAAGACGCAGTGGTCACAGTTCATGGACTGCAAACCACACAGGGATGCTGCAGCTAAGGATAAATTCAATTGCCATTCAGTAAAATTCAAGCTGGCTTCCCGCTGGTTATGGCCCAATAATTTCATTTTACTTTTTCCCCCCAAGTAGTGCATTAATAAGCATGCAAAGCAAACCGACTGTGGTGTAACCGTTTATGATATTCTGATTTTTCTTTTTGAAAAGATGCACTAATAGCCCTCTTGCAGTGGGAGACAAAAATCTATTAAAGCCTCCTTATTCCTTGCAGCTGTAAGAATATTTTCATGATCAGAAAAAATGCATCATGAACTTTACTAATAATTAAGCTACAAATCAGAGGCTGACTGTCAGAGGTGTTATAATGTTTTGGTTTTTTTTCCTTTTTATGGGTGGAGTGTTTTTTTCCTCCTCTTTCTCTAGGAGAATAGCCCACTGCTGAAGAGAGGATTCAGCAGAATTACTCATCCACCCACTCTCTCACGTTGACACTGAAACCAAGTCTGCAGTCGAAATTAAAATTCTGGGCCGTCTGTAACTCTGTTCACGTGTGTGCTTCTGCGTGTCCTTCGTATTTTATGTTGAAGCATCGCCAACTCTTTGTTATTCCCCAAGCCGCAGAAAGGCTCTTTACATGGGATTTGTCACAAGTGCACATCTGACTTTGTTATTCGTTCAAAGCACACGAACACACACGCATGCACACACACACACACACACACACGTGAAGAGATGCCTGATAGTTTCTACTTTTTGTAATTCATTCAAAGCCCAATCACTCAGGCGCACACACACAAGCACACACAGACGAATCACAGCAAACACACTTACACTCACAAAGTGTGCCCAATGCATGAATTATCCAAGTGAATTTCCCAGCTGCATTAAGCTAAATTATTCAGTTTCAAGTCACCACTTTTTCTTTTTTTTCCGCTGTGAAATGAAAGCTTCCCACCTGCCGATCCACAAGCCAGCTGCTTGTCTGTCCGTTCATCTCTAACTGCCTGCCATCAGTCCGACTACCTGTCTGTCAGCCGTCCAGGCTGGCTAACTGCCAAATGATGAGATGAGACAGGGAAGGTGTTCACTCTGGAGGGAATTGATTTTGTTGTTGTTTTTATCCCATGTGCTGGGATTGTGGGACATGTTCCGTTACGCCAGAGGAAGAGACAGTAAGTACAAATGGGGGAAAGATGCCATTCATGGCTGTTCCACCACACTGCTGCCACAAAGCACAAAAACACTCAAAGCAAGGGGAAAACTCTATAAACTGTCCAATGTACGCACACGCCACACACTCGTCCAAGCGGATGCCACTGGTCCACGAATATCCTATTGCATAAACTGAACAAAAAACAGACCTGCAGATGCTCAGATTTGGCATCAACACACACACACACACTTTCTGTTAACTGAACCTGTTAGATCCAGTTTCCAGATGGCCTGCAATGACTAGCTTTTCAGCCACAAAAAGGCAACGTCTTAAACTTTCTGACACACGCACACATACTCTGTTTGATTCTCTGTGACACCGGCCCACCGGGTCATGGTGGGGACACTGCTATTTTTGCACTGTCTTTCTTAAACCAGACATTACAATAGGATGGCAGCCTGGAAGAGCCATTTACCCATGAAAAAACAAGTTTATTGTCAGTTTACACCAGAGACAGAAAAAGACTGGTAACAGACAGGTAGTCGTACTGATGGAGACACACAAGGGGAAAGAGAGCAGATATAGAAACCGAAGTAAGAGCAGCCAGTGTGTTATTTGGTCCTAACAGAGCTAGCATACAGCTAACAGTATGCCCACCTGCCTAATACTGTGTTAGCCTTCCTTTTGCTGCTAAAACAGCCCTGATCTGTTGAGGTGAAGACTCCACTAGACCCCTGTGGCCACTTTGATTGACAGGTGCGCTAACATGAAAAACTATTGCCAGCAGCTGTCAACTATATCGCGCCCCTACGCCCCCAGTCACACAGGCCTAGAGAACAGTCGGCGACCTTGGCGACCTTGGCGGAGAGCAACT